TGGCCTCTGGTTTAAAACACAAACCAAAGGTAATTGTTTGAAAGTTGTTACACAATACTCAGGTGACCTATAAGGCCCGTGGGCCTCTTGTTTGTGTTGTAAGGAATTTTTAGGTCACCTGAGTAACTCAGGTGACCTATTGCTATCCGTTTTCGTCTGTCGTCGTGCGTCGTCCGTCGTGTGTTAACATTTGAACATTTTCATCTTCTCCTCTGAAACCACTAAACCAATTTCAACCAAATTTGATATACAGCATCTATGGGAGAAGAGGAACAAAAATTGTGAAATTTATGGTCCCCACCCCCCTGGGACCTGAGGGGTGGGGCCAAAACCAACAAAATTATTGCAATCTTTAAAAATCTTCTTCTTTACTCCTGGACATCAAGCAGGCAAACTGTTGGTATTAATGTAATGAGCATTGAATCCTCTACCAAAATTGCGAAATTCATGGCCCCAGGGTCAGGGGTTCTGGTGTTAGGGCGGGGTTCTATTGATCATATAGTGAAAATGCATTTATTCTTTGGAAATCTTCTTCTCTGCTTCTGGGTATTAAATAAACTAACTAAGCATATAGTAATAATGAGCAAGAGTGCCTCTTCCAAAATTGTGAATTTTATGGCCCCAGGGTCAGGGGTTCTGGTGTTAGGGCGGGGTTTTATTGATCATATAGTGAAAATGCATTTATTCTCTGAAAATCTTCTTCTCTGCTTCTGGGCATTAAATAAACTAATTAAGTATATAGTTATGTTGAGAAAGAGTGCCACTTCCAAAATTGTGAATTTCATGGCCCCAGGGTCAGGGGTTCTGGTGTTAGGGTGGGGCTCTATTGATTATATAGTGAAAATGCATTTATTCTTTGAAAATCTACTTAATCTCTGCTTCTGGGTATTAAATAAACTAACAAAGTACATAGTTATCCTGAGCAAGAGTGCCACTTCCAAAATTGTGAATTTTATGACCCCAGGGTCAAGGGCTGTGGTGTTAGGGCGGCGCTCTATTGATTATATAGTGAAAATGCATTAACTCTTTCAAAATCTTTTCCTTTTATCCTGGGTTTTATGCCAATGATCCAAGTATATATATATTTATGATGAAGAAAGGTGCATCTAGCAAAATGGTTATTTTTATGCCCCCTGGGTCGGGAGGGGGGGTGGTACATAGTCTTAAAATAAATTAATGCTTTGAAATCTGCTCTTTAGTTTTTTAATCAACCATTTTATAATAAAATTTGCAAAATTTTGAAATATGTGGCCCCTGGGTCAGTAGTTCCTTTGGGGTGAGGTGCACAACTGGTTATAAAGTGGAAGTGCATTTTCTCTTTGTTACTCTGATCTACTTCTGAGTATTACGTAAATAGAGTAAGCATGCTAAGTTTATAATTATAAGCAATGGTGCCTATTTCAAAATTGTGAATTGTGAATTTCATGACCTTTGGTTTAAAACATGAACCAATTTTAATTGTTTGAAAGTTGTTACACGATACTCAGGTGACCTATAAGGCCCGTGGGCCTCTTGTATTTTTCTGCAGTCATAAACACATTGACTTTGTACATCTGGCATTTAATCTGTCTCCACTACGTCAACAGCGGCCATGATAAGGTTTTTTTCCCATGCTGCCCCAATTAAGCTATCAAAACCAAATTTAACTGCTGTTATCAGCAGTGCAGTGTTATAAGATGCAGCTTTTCTTTTTTATATGTGAGTTACACTTTTATATATAGAAATTAAGATTCTGACCAAACGTTCCGTTTAACATAGCTTTTCTGTTATTGAGATTTTCCCTTTTATTTTCCTACGTAAAACTTTGATCCACCGTTGAGACCCTTCCCCACCCTTGGATGTTATGATTTGAACAAATTTAATTCTACACTAACTTAGGATGCTTGCATATAAATATTACTAATCATGGCTTTGCTGTTCTTCAGAAAAATATTTTTTTAAATATATTTCAATGTAAAATTTGGATTCCCCATTGTGGCCCCACACTATCGCTTGGGGTTATGAATTGAACAAACTAAGAATCTACAGTACCTGAGGATGCTTCCATATAAACATCACTAATCATGGCTTTGCAGTGCTTGAGAAGAATTTTTTTTAAGATTCCGCTATTGTTACTATGTAAAACTTTGATCGTCAATTGTGGCCCAACCCTACCCCCGGGGGTCATAATTTGAACAAACTTGAAAGTACTCTACTTGAGGATGATTCAACATGAGCTTCATCTTTCTTGTCCCTATGGATCTTAAGAAGAATATCAATCTTGATCAAATGAGAATTCTTGGGGGTAGGGTGGGGACACAATGTGGGATCCATTTTTACATAAGAATTTATACTAAAATATCTTTAAAAATTAGTGATTTTATTTTATGGAAGTATCCTCAGGTGGTTTACATTCAGATTTGTTCAAATTATGGACCTGGGTTAGGATGTTGCCACAATGAGGGATCAAAGTTTTGCCAAGGAATATAGACGGAAAATTCTTCTACAGAACAGAAAAGTTTTGTTTAGTCGAATTGACATGTATAAGGGGGGGGGGGGGGGGTTCACAGTTGCAGATCAAAAATCTTCTTTTCAAATATGGCAAAATTATACATATATAAACTTTATTGATATGGTAATAGAGAAGTAATAGAAAATCCCCCCTCCCCCAACAAGTAAACATTTCAATACTGAGCTGATTTGTGCCCATGTGCTCAGGTGAGCGATGTGGCCCATGGACCTTCTTGTTTCCCCTTTATTTAGTTTACTTAGGTGAACTATTGCTATTGCTATCTCTTGTCGTTCGTAAACTTTTGAATATTTTTAGCTTCTTCTTTGGAACCACTGAACCATTTTCAATCAAATTTCGTATACAGCATCTATGAGTGAAGGGGAACATTTTTGAATTTCATTGTCCTTTCCCCCCTGGGGCCTGAGAGGTGGGGCTAAATCTACCAAAATCAATGCAATCTTTAAAAATCTTCTCTTCTGTTCCAAGGTATTTTAAGAGACACCGTGACCCACAATGGGGAAAATTGATAAATGTAGAATTTTTGCATGACCCGCATTAATTTTGTTCAATTTCTAAAAGTATTCAAAAAATTACAGGTTTCAGAACCTAACATTTTTTTATGAAGAAAAGTAAAAGTAAACTAAGTATATAGTTATGATGAGCAATAGTGCCTCTTCCAAAACTGTGAATTTTATGGCCCCTGGGTTGGGGTATTAGAGCAGGGCTCAATTGATTACTTTGATTCTTAATAATAAAAAAAAATTTCTGCTTCTGGGTATTTTAAATATACCAACCAAAATATAGTCATATTGAATAAGGCGGCCTCTTCCAAAATTGTAAATTTCATGACCCCAGGGACAGGGGGTCTGGTGCTCGGGCGGGGCTCTATTGATTAAAGTATTGAGCGAAAATGCATACATTCTTTAAGAATTTTCTTCTCTGCACCTGAATATTAAACCAATGAACTATGTACATATACATAGTTATGATGAGGAAGGATGCCTCCTCCAAAATTGTGAATTTCTTAGCCCCTGGGTCAGGGGTTCTGGTGCGAGGGCGGGGCTCTAATGATTATATAGTGAAAATGCAACAATTCATTGAAAATGTCTTCCTTTGCTCCTGGGTATTATGATAATGACCTAAGTATATATGGTTATTATGAAGAAAGCAGCATCTAGCAAAATGGTTAATTTCAGGGCCCTTAGGTCACGGGTACTGGGGGAGGGGGGGTTAACATAGTCTGAAAATAAATTAAGGAGGCTGGGGGGTCAACAAATTAACCACAAGTTAACCACCAGATTTAACTTATTTTTTTAGGTACGGTATCTTAAGCTGTCAACTATCATCTGGCAAAGAAAAAATTCATACATTTTAGTTTTAAATTTTGATCATTTTTGTATATCTTTGTATGGAGCTCTTCTTTTAAAGGAGATCGAAAAAGTCTGAAAGTGGCTGCCACCCCCCAGCCTCTTTAATGCTTAGAAATCTGATCTTTGGTATTAAACAACCATTTATTATGAAATAAAATTTATAAAATTTCCAAAATTTTGAGATATGTGGCTCTAGGGTCAGTGGTTCCTGTGGGGGTGGGGGCACAACTGGTTATAAAGTGAAAATGCATTTCCTCTTTGTTACTCTGATCTACCTCTGGGTATTAAGTAACCAAAGAAAACATGCTAAGTGTTAATTATGATAAGCAATGGTGCCTCTTTCAAAATTGTGAATTTCATGGCCTCTGGTTTAAAACAAGAACCAAATTCAATTGTTGGAAAGTAACATAATACTCAAGTGACCAATAAGGCCCATGGTTTTTAAAAAAATCCACTGATGTTTATCAAGCAGAAGTAGGGAGTTGTGCATTTTGCCTGCAACAACTGCAACATTAATTCCCATACTAACAACCAAAGATAGCATTTTAATTTATTCAAAACCTGTTCATGTTATCTTTATAACTTTTATGATGCAAATGTCAATAAAACCTGGATGACATTCTATATATGTATACCCCTAGATTATTTTTGGATGAGTATACAGGATAGTCTTCGACGCTATTTCTCGGTATGTACAAGCGCCCCTTTACTTATAGCAGTATTTCAGATGAATATACAGACAAGCGTTCGACGCCTATTCTCGGTATGTACATGTAACACGTATATCTGAGTTTGTTTTTCATGAATGCGTAATATGCATACATGTATACCCTTTTTCATACAAAGATAGAACTTTTACAGTACATACAGTGTAATTTGAAAAGATGCTATAAGATTAGCTTTTTTTGTCCATTGCTCAAATGTTTGCTGTTCCGATTTTTTTCTACATTGCATCTTAAGTATTAAAAATTTATATTTTACTTCTAAATAGTCCTAGTCTAGGTTGTGAATTTCAAGTTCATAAAAAGATATTTCTGTTCAGTTCAAGGATATTTTCAAAAACTTGAGAGTCGTCTTCATCGCTCCCATTGGCACCACTTAAATTTATTCCCTCTGATCTTGGATAATTCCATTTGCAGAATGGAAGCATTTTTGCAAGAGGAACTAGAAGACGAAAACTTGAAGTGTTTGGGTAATGCTGGGTCAGGCTATATTAGTGAAGGATTTAAATACAGAACAGGAAAAGGGGAACTGATCTTTGTGAAAATCAACAGAAAAGCGGAGGTGAATTCTCATTAATGACATGCTCACAAGAAAAGAGTCAAAAAATTCAGTAGAATATCTTAAGTTTTAATTCCTGTTCTTTGAAGAAAAAAACACGACTACTCAGTATCTTTTGCGCGTCAAGGGTAAGAGTTATATGATATTATAAACTTCTTGAAATTAAAACTCTTAGTATTAATAAAGGTTTATATTTTGTCGTTTTTTTCCAAAGTTATTAATACGTTAACATATGGCATTGTCTAATTTCTTATTTGTATTTTTTTGTGTTTCTGAAATTACAGGCTCAACAGATGTTTAATGGGGAATATAGGAGTTTAGAAATCCTACGTGCTGCAAACATTGTCCAAGTTCCAAAACCAATAAAAGTATTAAAAATTTCTTAAAACAAACGTAATACCCCACAGGTATACACGAGATTCGTAGTTTCAAAATACTGAATGACGTAAATTTTCATCTAGATGATTTTCCTCCCACTTTGCTCGAGCTATAACAATGTCTTTCAATTCTTCCAATATGATTTTAAAAAAACAATCTTTCAAAATGCAATCTGAAAGTTAAAAAAATCCTAAACTAAGACTCCAATGTTTAAATTCGTTAACAGATAAAACTGCATAGAAAGACGTAGCAGTTATTTAAGATTTTTGGCCTTGTTGAATTTTAATAACTAACATAAAAAGTAGCAAGCAAGAAGTAACGGAACTCTTTGTTAAACATTATCTACTGAGTATATCTGTAGAAGGAAACGCACCAGACTTACAATTCTAAAAATCATGAAAAGGTAAACTACACATAAAATAAACCGAAGAAAATACTAAGTATTAAAGGCTGAATAATTGTATTTGTTACTTAGGTTATAAACCTTCCAGAAGGAGGCTCGGCATTGATCATGGAACATATTGAGATAAATAGCTTGTCTTCACAATGTGGAAAACTGGGAGAATTGATGGCAAGGTAAAGTATAGAGAATGAAAGGCAAGATAAAGTAAAGTAAACGAAAGGCAAGAAAAGGGATTGATTGATTGTATTTTGTTTTATGTCCCATTCAAGAATTCTTCAATCGGATAGATACTTCGCCATATACCGGTGAAGGTTCAAACATACCTTTACTCCACACTTAATCTCATAGAAGTTTGAGGGATTTTTATTGTCTTCAAGTTTTTCAATTATCCATTACTTTAAGTATACTGTTCAATTTTTATGTCACCTGAGTAAACAAACTCAGGTGACATATTGCTATCCGTTTTCGTCCGTCGTCGTTCGTCGTGCGATAACATTTGATCATTTTCAGCTTCTTTGAAACCGCTGAACCAATTTTAACCAATTTTGGCATATAGCATCTATGGATAAAGGGGAACAAAAATTGTGAATTTTATGGTCCCTGCCCCCCCTGGAGCCTGGAGGGTTGGGCCGAAACCTCTCAAATTAGTGCAATCTTTAAAAATCTTCTTTACTCCTGGACATCAAGCAGTACAACTGTTGGTATGATTGTAATCGGCATTGAGCCCTCTACCAAAATTGTGAAATTCCTGGCCCCAGGGTCAGGGGTTCTAATGCTAGGGCGGGGCTATATAGATTATATAGTGAAAATGGATTATTTCTTCGAAATTCTTCTCTTTTTATGGGCATTAAATAAACTAACCAAGTGCATAGGTTTGTTGAATTAGGCTGCCTCTTTCAAAATTGTGAATTTAATAGCCCCAGGGTCAGGGGTGTGAGTGCTAGGGCGGGGCTATAAAGATTATATAGGGAAAATGAATTAATTCTTTGAAAATCTTTTCTTCTGTGCTTGGGTATTAAACCAATGAACTACTAGTATGTACATAGTTTTGAGGAGGAAGGATGCTTCTTTGCAGGTCAGGGCTCATTGTGTTAGGGAGGGGCTCTAATGTTTATATAATGAAATTGCATGGATTCTCTGAAAATCTTTTCCTTTGCTCCTGGATATTATGCCAATGATCTAAATAAATATTTATGATATAGAAACCTGCCTCTTCCAAAATGGTTAATTTTTGGGCCCCTGGCTCAGAGGTATTTGGAGGCAGGGAAGGGTACGGTCTGAATATATATTAATGCTTTGAAATCTGCACATTGACATTAATCAACAATTTATGATGAAATAAAATTCATGATAAAATTTCCAAAATTTTGAAATATGTTGCCCCATGGTCAGTGGTTCCTTTGGGGAGGGGTGCACAAATGGTTACAAAGTGGAAATGCATTTTCTTTTTGTTACTTTGATCTACCTCTGGGTATTAAGTAACCAAAGTTAGCATACTAAGTGTATAATTATGATAAGCAATGGAGCCTCTTTCAAAATTTTGAATTTCATGTCCTCGGGTTTAAAACACGAATCAAATTCAATAAGGGGATACTCAGGTGACCTATAAGGCCCGTGAGCCTCTTGTTATTGTCGCACTTATTGAAATGTGCCATCGTTAGCCATTCATTGCTTTTATTGTTCTGGGAATTGGAGCCAAAGCAATAAAAACTTTTCTTAATGAAATGTAAATTTTATTCTATAAATTTACTAAGTTTATTCACCCACCATAATGATATGTTGCTATGTTTGATATTGTAAGTTGTTCTTTATAATTTTGATTTTTGAAGACTGCATTTGCTTAACTCCGAGATGTTGGAGAAGTCGAAGAAACTTGAGAAGTATGTTGGGAAGGCGGATAAATTAACTCCTGTCACTCAGTTTGGATTTGACACAACCACGTGTTATGGATATATACCTATGGACAACACTTGGCAAGATAACTGGGGGGTAGGAAGTATAATTAAACAATGAAACGGTTTCTATGGTTATATAGTAAGGGAATTAATGTTGCAGCTGTTCCAGAAAAAAATATATGACCCGATAAAACGAGTTCTATAAATTACCGGTATTTTCACAAAATCTGTAACATTAGTGTTCAATTTAACATAAGACATTTATCGTATACCTATATTGATCAATGTCTGTATCATTCATTTAAAAATTCTAAAATGACAAGTTTCTTTAATGGAAGAGGCAATGCGCACTTTGGAAATATGCTGGTATAAGGTAATTTGCTAATTTGCTTAATATTGATTAATAAGGTAGTTTGCTCATTTGCTTACTATTGTAATATTACTTTATAATTTGCTATAAACTTATAAAGCAATTTGTTTTATTTATTACAGAATTTTTATTCCAGGAAACTAAAACAACAGATGGATATTTTAGAAACTGTTGTAAGTGCTCTACCACTTTACGAAAATATTTTTTTTTAGGAAAAACACGTACATGTATTTGTGAAAGCATTTGAAGAATCATTAGAGGCTCTGATGTTATGAAGAGGAAATCTCATTTCATAATTTAAAATTTATTCGGTTATTTCTAGCTGATTCCCCTCTCCCAAATAATCAGTTTTTGCACTGCAGTAGGTAAATTTCTGTTAAAGAAAATTTCAAGAAACTGTCTGTGTGTATATTCCGTATTGAATATCAATGACATACTCATATTTGAATTGTTTTGCAAGTTTAAGTAGACAATGAAAAATAAAGATCTAATCTTTTTAAAATTAAATTATTATTAATAAAATATTTTATATCATTATTCTATTTTTACTTCCCTGCTAGTCTTAGGAAAAGCATGTATTTGTGTCTTAAAGATACAAGTAATTGATCTATTCTTTTTATAAGACTTTATTATTGATGGATAATGGTATATAAATAGCAACAATCATAAATTTATAAATTAAGAAATCTGATTTTTTAAATAAAAATGCCGTTAATGATTCAACTATTATGAAGACTTAGTGCTAATTGATAACATCATTATTACTGGAATCTTAAAACGTACGAACTCGCCTGAACGTACTGGACCGGTGGTATGCATGCTGGTAAATAAAATTTATAAATCCACATGCATATATGTACACCTTTATGTATAAACATGTATTAGGTATCATTATCATTTCTACCTGACAATATACAATATGTAACGTCTTCAAAATGTTCATGAAATGTCAGATATTTTACTTTAAAGCATAGCGACAAAGAAGCAAGAGAGTTATGGTCAGAATTACAAATGAAACTTCCTGCGTTTTTTGACAATTTAAATAACATTCAACCCGCCCTAATGCATGGGGATCTGTGGAAAAAGAATGTTGGTGAAAATGAATATGGACCAGGTACAGATTAATTTGTTCTTCAATTTATTGAAATTTTAGAATATCTACAAGAAACGTTTTATTATAGTAAAATTTGAATAAAATTTTACTGAGAAATACATATATCAATTTAATTTATTGAATTTTCAGTATAATTATGTTATTGAGGATTTGGGTTCATTTCAGTGATATTTGACCCTGCCAGTTTCTATGGTCATTCCGAGTTTGATTTAGCACTTACAAGGACATTTGGTGGCTTCGGCGCATCATTTTTTGACAACTATCACCAGCTAATTCCACAGGCCCCAGGCTTCAGACAAAGAGCAGACCTATATGAACTATTCTTCTATCTCAATCATTGGCTAGTACCAATTTTAAAACTTAAGCGAAATATTTATTTTTTTTCAATGATTTTAAATTCTAATAACTGCATCATCTGTTTTCCTGTTTGAATTCACTAAGATTAAATGCATCTGAATTCAAAATGTGGAAAACTTGCGAAGCTATACACAAACACATGATACATGTACACTGTAATTTTTAATGCAGATAGCCTTTTCAATGGTAAAGAAGATAAATCAAAATAGATGTATTTGATGATTTTTAGTGCTTTCGTATCGTTGGAAATGTGGTTCAGTTTCAATGATATTTTTCTTATACATATTTTTTGCACAATTATTTTAACAAATGCAAGCAATATAGATCAAACATATAAGTTTCGATTTATAAATTCCGCTTAAAAGCGCTTGACGTTTTTAACCTTTTTCTTTATAAATAAAAAATTCCGCCACATATAATTTACATGTCTAATAATCATTATACTCCATTAACATCACTTGAGTATATATTTTATTACGAGTACACTTTAGATTACTAATTTTTTTCATAAAAAGAGATCTTTGTTGAATGTATTTTAACTAGAATTCTTCATTTCAGGAACCAGTTTGGGACGTCATATAGAGATCAGTCCATTTCAGCATTTTGTCGCTTGCTCAGGATTGAATGAGTCGTAAACGATTACTTCTATTAATAATATAACATTTAAACCGAGACATTCCAGATCCTCTACAAAGTAGAGACACTAAAGTTGACGTTTTACAGCGATTTTTGTCTGTTTTATATGAACTGCATTTCGATAGATGACAGGATTTTGTATGCAACTTATATTTTAATTATTACTTAGACTCAGTACGATACCCATTTTCCCTTTGCAAGATTTAATCACAGCGAGAAACTCTTCGGGTATATCGGTGGACAAGTCTATAATTTTTTTTTGGGGGGGGGGGGGTCATCTCAAGGAGAAAATGTCCCTAGCATAAAAATGCCAGATTGTACCGTACTTTAAAGTGATGTCGTTGTATGTAGGTGTAAATTTAGTTTAGCACAAAGACCGAACATCAAATTGTAGACAAATTGAAAACTGAAAATTGAACAAAAAATAAATCTTTTCTCATTGTGTCTTAAAACTGAATGCTTGTTTTCATTTCATTTCTGTGTGATTGAAAATTATTTGAGAAGTTAAAAGTTAAACTTATGTCCTATGTGCATAAAGCACATTGTTTTAAAACCATGAAACATCTGTAAACCATATATTATGTACATATATTATGTACATGTACACAACGATAATGCAGAGAATAAACACGATCTTGAGAAAAATCATTAGTTTGTTAAATGAAATGTTTTCAGAAATTTTAGTGTATGCTTTGTCTATTTCGACCGGTATTGTGTATTTTCGTTTTGAAACATTGCATGAATATAGAAATGTCTGTCTAAGTAAACATACTATGAAACAAGACCCCCATGGGCCACATCGCTCACCTGAGTAACTTTGGCCAAGCTATTCTTTACCAGATTTCCATAATTTAATAGCTACTTGACCTCAACCTACCCCCGGGGGTCATGACTTTTACAATTTAGAATCTACACTATCCCAGGATGCTTCCACATCAGCTCTTTTCTGGCCTAGTGGTTCTTGAGAATAAGATTTTTAAAGATGTTTCCTATCTATTTCAATGTAAAACTTGGATTCCCTATTGTGGTCCCACCCAACCCCCCGGGGTCATGATTTACACAGTTTAGAATGTACACTATCCCAGGATGTTTCCACATAAGTTTCAGCTTTTCTGGACCAGTGGTTCTTTAGAAAAGGATTTTAATTGACCCCACCCTATTTTTGATTTTTATTGATTATCTCCCATTGTAAGGGGACTTGGTCCTTTATTTAAACAATTTAAACTCTTCTTAACCCAAGCATGCTTTGTACCAAGTTTGGTGAAAATTGACCAGGTGGTTCTTTAGAAGAAATTGAAAAGTTTACAGACAGACAGACAGGCGGACGGACAATGGGTGATCAGAAAAGCTCACTTGAGCTTTCAGCTCAGGTGAACTAAAAATAAGTTGCACAAATTCAAAATTTGTGTTCAAAAAACTATATCTGCGATTTAGTTATTTATAAAGAAATATCCATAAATATTTATTGACAAGCAACACAAGTAAGGAAAGTAGTCAAATGATGAATGACACGTAAAAAATCTATGAGGTATAGAAAAATTATATTTATTTACCAGTACATGTACGTGGGCTGTTCACTAAATAATGTCCTCGGTGCTCGGAAATAAGCAAAAGACGCTTTTCAATGATTTAGTGTTCATGATTTAACTTATGCATCTCTTTTAATTAAAACATATGTCCGTAAGATTTTTTATACAATTTCTGATTGTTTTAGAACTCATTTTTGGGTATGACCCACAGTATACTGGAAAATGGCAGATCCAATGATTTCCTGGACTTGTTTTCTTCCTTCTGAAAGGTGTTTTTTCAAGTTTGGAAATAGAAACAAGTCAAAAGGTCAAAGATCTGGCGAATATTGTTAGTATGAAAAACATTAACTTTCTGTTTATTCCGAAACCCCTTTACTCTTCAGGGCGTGCGGGTTTGGACACTGTCATGAAGAAATTTAATGTAGTGGATTCCTGATTTTGGGTCCTTCCTCTAATAGACCTTTCGATTTTTTTGGCAAAAAATTTGCTTTCTAGACTCCTCCAGAAATTAAACTGTCTCCCCGAATACGAATTTGAACAACAATACCACTAATATTTAAGAAAATTGCATATAAATCTGTCTTTATGCTCTTGCAATTCTTTGCTCTATCAAGTACATCTTATGGTAAATTTTGTTTTGAGGATTTGAAGCAAAAGATTCAAGTTCCATTGACAATAACTGATATTTCAAAATAATTGTAAGACATTCGTACACGCTTTCGTTTTCACTCATTTTTCAAAATATAGGGCGACCTTCGAGTACTAAGCTTTTTTTACCGTCAAACATTTCTTAAAAACAGTGTAAAGTACTACCAAAATGATGTCTATCAAATTTGCAATATGTCTTAAAGTCAGTCATACATCATCAAATATTTTTTGTTGAAATTTGGCAAACAGTACATAAGTTGTTATAATTTTTTGTTGGCAAGGACGGTACCCATTTTTGATGCCCATTATATAATTTTTTATCATTAAAATCCACCTGCTCATTTGTCTGTAAAACAGGCATTGGTGGCCTAAATGTCACATACTTCAGTGAATATTTTTTGGAGGATTTATAACAAGTTTTACAGCAGTTTTTATGAAGCTTTTATTTTCACTCTAGTTTACTGATTTTTTACCATTCATTTATAATGCAGTGTCTCAAATAGCCCTTGTTTTCCAGCTTCTCACAATGAAACTATTTGACGAAAAGTGGTCACATAAACTGTAATAAATTCATTAAAGATTCAATAATGAGAGAAAGTCAAGCTTAATGTCATATGATATCTGTATTGTATGTCATACAGTTCAGGACATTATTTATTGAACAGCCTTCGTATATAAAAGAAAAAAAAATCTAATTGTATATTTTCAATTTTTGCATCGGATGTCAGCCATTGTTAACACGAACAATTGTACAAAATATAAAGGAACAGATATCACCTGCAAATAAATCATTCAGTTAATCATCGCTTATATTACGTAGACGTAGAAACTGAATCAGGATACGTCCAAAGGAACGGAGGTCATTTGTTATAAGAGTGTTCGTAAAGTCCTCCATCTGCAATTTATGCAAATATGGAGTGGCAAACAAACAAACTATTATCAAAAATTGTAAAATTGAAATACTTAAAACATAAATCGCAGATGGAGGACTTTACGCCAGGCATAATGTAAACTACCAGTCTCTAAGACAAGAAAAGACCTTCGTTTAAACTTTAATTTGCAGAATGTGGGCAACTAATAATTAAGCTGGCATGTAAATAATTTTTATTAAGTGGGATAAAATTACCTTTATTCCTTCAAATACAAATTTCATTGCCTGTATCATTTATTCGTCTGTCTAAAAATAATTAAATTAATAAATATACATGCAACACAAGAGAAATCATGAAACAAAGTTATTTTTAACAGACAGCATCAATGTGCTGGCCCAATGTTAGGCCAACAAAGCTCTATTTGTATGCCAAAAATTCAGAATTGACATTGCATTGGCCCAATATTGCACTAACATTGGACATAACGTTGTATTTTTTGTTGTCCCACTAATCGAAACCTGTTGGACCAATGATACTATTTATACCTGCTTCAAATATGCTTCATATAAATACAAATATAGGTCTGCTAATAAAGGGGCGCAATTGGTACACATGGAATTCCAATAGATTGTTGGAAGACCTGGTCTCCAAAAACCACATAGATATTGTCAATCAGAAACTCAAGCATCTTTTTGATGTCAACTTCAGAGTACTGGTGTGTGCAATCAGAAAGTTTTTTTTAAACAAAGAATTTTGCAAATGGCCAATGACAAGGTAAGTAAATTTACGAGTTTCATTTTTATTGAAAAAGCAGCTGTCAATGATATTAAAAAGTCTGGACTTTAATTTATCGCGGAAAATGGCTGTGTATAAAGTTGAAAAGTCGTAAGTTTTTGAGCTGTTGATTTTGGTAAAATCTTGTGTTTTCTTTCCAAAATTTCCTTTTCAGAATGTTCAAAATATATAACTGCAGTTTATTAAACATATCCTTTTCAATAGACAAAATATTCTATTATGCGATACACATTGCAAATTTCGTGTGCCATGGCTCCTGTAGAGGATCGTGCCAGAAACGTTTACCTAGGAATTAAATTCACATGTCTTAAAAACTTTTACATGTATTGACAAAAATATAAATATAACAGTTCTTACAAATATTAGACTGGTTTTTCTTCCCATGAATATAGCTCAACAGTGAAAAATCAATTTCAAGGGAAACTGAACATAAACAATGTAACTCTGATCTTTACCAAAGGGTTTCTGAGCAGTACAAATTTCATTAATCTTGACGTCATTAGTAATGATGTAATTTTAATTTTTAGAGAAAATGGAGTTTATGTGTCGATATTTTGGAGCGTGGATCTCCTCACATCTTTTAATACAGTAGAGAAGGATAATATCAATGAAATATGTAATTATCAGGCCTGAGCAAGTCTGCATTTTGTAAATTCTAAAAAGACTAAATTAATGTAACAAAATGAGATGGTGACACAGGCTTACAGAAAGCTTAAAGTGAGATTGCTTCCTTCATTCTTTATTTCCTCCGAACCGGAGATTCAATTCCAACATTACAACATATATGAATAGTCAAACATATTTACAACATTATTGGAAAAAATCATTTAGCTGAAAAACAAATGATAACAGTAATAAATAAATAATTTAAAAATAAATAAATAAATTATGTGAACATTAAAAGGACATGGACACATATTCAGCTAAAAATTACCTCGTTTGGTAATCAACAAATGATGTTAAAATTGTTGCTGATCATTTATATTTAGATGATCCCTAAGTTAGGGAATGTAAGCATTAAAATTGTTTTTTAAAAAATCAGTCGAAATTGTGTCCCTGTCCCTTTACAGGTTACAAGGAAGTAAACAATCGGATATAGATTACTTGGATTGAATTACTTTGTAGAAGTGGACTGCTACGGTCCATTACATATCTAAAGTTAAGTAGGTGAAGATCAGGGTTGTCAAAAAAATTCTTAAAGTTGAGAAAGTTCGGGATCCGAGGAGAAACAACTAAAGATCTTGCTGCGAATGTCCAGAGAGTTTGGTACCAAGAATTTTATACCAAAGAAAACAAATATGTAAATCAGTTTATATTTTATTACAAAAAACAATCTAAATGTTGGCACTTGGGATCAACAACTGACAACCATTAAAGAGAACTGCTAAAACATAAATTTGCTAATTAATACATATGCAACTACATAAAACATAAGCAAACTAACATCCCCTTAAATCTTGGGGATAAGAAATAAAAAATTTTACTATAATTTTTTATGAATAGTCTAAACATAATCTAATTGTTAACCCCATGGCAAACAGTTTTTTGGAGAGTGGCGGGGAAGGTGGTGGATAGCTTTGTAAAACTACAGATTCACGATGCTGCCAG